TCTCCGACTCAGTTTTCCGGACGTGTACGTTTCCCGCTTTCGGGATCGTGCCTCGATGTGTCTCGACCGCATTTATAATAAGAGAGACGACTATAACAATTTTCTACTAGAAGTTAGATATGAAAGGAAAGTTTGGTCCCGTCGTTGCCCCGGGTAAAATGCAAAATGAATTGAAAAGAGACGGTGAGATAGAGAATCAGATAGCGGAAAAGAGAAATGAAACTCTGCGGACTATTGGCAGAACTTTAATCCGCCTTGTCTACGACGAATTCGTGCAATTAAGTTCGCGCGATGCCGCGGGCATCCCTATAATCGAAGATCCCGCGCAAGAACATGACAAGCCTATTTTCTTGAAGAAATAAATTAATTGCCGCTTCAATACGTATTTATGTTACGTATTTGGCGCTAAATATGGCTGTGATACCTGCGGATCTGTACAATTTTAAATGCTATATTTTATTATGTTAGAATATTAATTCTTTACATCATTATTAACACAACAATAATTCATAAAATTCAACAATCAATACAATATAATATATCAATGATAGTTTAATGATATTGAGCAAAATAATGGATAAAAATCTTAAAAATATCTTTTATCTTTCGATATTAGGATTTTTCTTGCGATGTTTGGAAGATATTTGTTTTTTAAATATACAGAGGAGTAGATAGATCGATATCGGTAGGCATGAATATGCATGCGAGTGAATGAAGTACTTTGGCAGAACTGCACTATGTATCTCGTTTCGTGCTAAACGTAATTGTAGTTTACAAGGTAGAGTTTCGCCCCGAACACGAGTTTGCGACTATTTAATTACAGGTTCATTACTAATTAATCACTCTTCTATTTGCGCAATCAAGCATTATGTTGTAATATCCAGCAATTAGAGACACTTGATACAAACATAATTCTCGACCGTATTATAGCCGGTGATAATGTCTTTCAATATATATTCCCCTGTAATTATACATTTGCCGATTGTCAGCAGGTTATTATTCTTGTTCAATCATTATCGAAAAAAATTATGATGTATCGCTCGATAAGATATTACGATTATATCTCACTCCATCGCCACGAATAATACATTCCATCGTTAATTCGTATGTATTTGTTTGCGGCAACTAATAAATCCTCATTCACCGAGATATTTTCCCATTCGCGTGCTCGAGAATGTATTATTCTTTCGTTCTTGCTTGAAATCGCATTTCTCTCACTCAAATTGGCTTAATCTCTGTATCACTAAAATATGAATTCCAGGAAAAAATAGAATTAAGTCGTGGGTCAATTCGTAATGGTATTGCAATCTAGGTCGCATAACCAAAGAAAATATATGTTATTCTAGTAATAAGCCGTGACATAAGGTCCGTCGAATAGAAGAAAAGAAATCTGATTGCTCTAATTGACTTAATGATGATATGGATATATCGAGTCTACTATAGAGGGTCTAATCAACCGCGCTTCCTTTGGACGCTAAATAAGTAGCTAAGAATAACTTGCGCTGGTTTACTGACTGCAATGACAAAATCTAGATCTCTCATTATAATCAGTATGTCATTATAAAAAGATTTTTCTAAAAGATTATCATCGTTCGAATGAAAGTAAGAAATATTAATATAACGTAAATTAAGATCTCGTCGTCATAAATTATTATATATAATTTTTCTCTCAATTTTTTTCTCAAAATGTCACTTCTAATTTTTTATTGAATTTTTTAGATTTTAAGATGTTGAGATGTCATGATGTTTAATAGCAGATTTATTTTTTTCAATTTTATCTGATAGTTTTTTAACATAAATATTTAATAAACAATACAAAATTTAATTCTAGTCAAATTTTTTTATATATGGACTTTTATATATAACTTAAAATTATATCATTATTAATAGAAGTTAATAGAAGTTTTTAAATCTCCATCCTAGAATTTCCATCAAGAATTTATTTTCCGCATATAAATTCAAATCATTGTTGCCAAAATCAAACTATGCAACATATTTTCCTTGAATATTCTGAAATCCTGTTATTCTTTAGAGTTACGTGACGTTTTGCATGTCGAGGAATGATTTGCATTTTGCTATTGGCATTTGGTCGAAATTACCGAAACACAGTCCTTCGGTAAACTTCAGCCGACGGATTAACGGAAAGAAGCAAAGGGAGAGAGAAAAAGGAGAGAGAAAAATTAAACAGAGAGAACTATAATTCTCGTTCTGCAAACGTGGCGGAAGTCAATTGGCGCGTCATGCATACACGAAAGTTAATTCTACGAGCGGCCTTCCTCGCCTTCTCCTTCGCCACGGTATTAAGTTTAGCCACTTCGACCTGACGCGGGCAGTGTGTCAAGATCACTTGATTCGCCGTTGATATCGACCTTTCTCTATCTCTTGTTCGTTTTCTCGCTTCGCTGAGAGAGAGAGAGAAAGAGAGAGAGAGAGAGAGAGAGAGAGAGAGAGAGAGAGAAGCGGGCTACTTCAAGTGTAGTTCGAGAGCTGCACGATAGGCAGACAAGTTGCCTTGTGCCTGCTTTCATCTTTCCCGGCAAAGCGACGGATCGGTCCTTTGAAAGATGCCGTGGAGTAGCTCGTAGACGGGGTGACGAGAGCCGGTTGTCTGAAATTCAAAGTCAGAGAGCCAAGGTGGTTTTTCCTTTTGGGCGTAAGAAGATTCGCGTGCTAGATGGTTGTTACAGTGAATACGTTATTCTTCGCTGGTATATTCCGAGAGTGGTACTGCTTGGAGCGCGTTGGTTTGCATGCTTGGGTTTGAATGATGTATAGGTAAGCCGAAAATTTGTTTTAAATTGCAGCTTATTTTACGAAAAAAAAAAAAAAATCGTTTTGCACAGAAGAACTCACGTGTGACTAAGAAAGACTATTCTACGACATTAAAATATCAGAATATCCTTTGTGTGCTTTTATTGTAACCTTTAATATCGCACCACAGTTTATAATAATAATAATAATAATACATTTATGTGCTTCGCCGTTCATTCACTTTTCTCTTATCGTTATAATTTTATGACAAAGAATCTAAAGAACTGGAATAAAGAAATACGGGGAACTCAAACTCAGTATTAAAGGATTAAAAGATTAGGGATTCCAGCGTAACGCAAGTGAAGTAAGTCAGAATGCCGTAAAGAGCTGAGGTGGAATAACGAGGGAGCACCCGTTTGATTGCAGAAGGATGCAACCACGGGTGACAGTGGCTCTGGCCACGATCTGGCTGACGCTGGCGGTTCTGGTAGGAGGAGCAGTCACCCTCCACCTCTCCCACGATCAATACTCCCCCGCGTCTCCGCGCCGCTACGCTGGGATTCAACGGGACCAGACTAAAGACTGGAGGGATCACGATCTGGCCGAGGATCAACCGGTCGACATTAGGATCGACTCGCAAAGGTCGATCTCCGCTGAGGGTATGTCAGACTTTGCAATACTATGTCAAGCTGAGCAAAATAAAGAGCCGTACTATGTCCCGCTGTCAATTCAAGGGTTGATATCAAATATGATATTGTCATTTTGAGGAAAATACATCAGGAAAAGCTTAGTATAAATTTTCCCGATTCTTTCCCTCTCCTTATACAATCAAATATCTGAATATATAATATTATAACTCACGTATTTAAATGTTTATTTTATAGGAATAATTTATTTACAACTCTTCCTCTTTTTGTAAATGCTAAATATAATTTTTTGCTAATTATAACTTATTTGTTTATTTTGTTGTTATACCTATTTTACATTCAGCATTTTAATATATTTATTACGTAGATATACAGTACTCTATTCTCACTGGCTCTTGTTACATCAGCGATTTAATTCTGTCGTGCCGTCTAATAGAGACGGAATAAACGCGTCGCGACGAAACGCGTCGCTGGGTCTAACCAGTGGAAATCCGTTCGCCCGGACTTTCTGATTAATCAAGGTTTCCTTGGTCGTTGTCTTCATGCAATTCTAATATCGAACGAATACTACTACGATTAAAAGCTCGAATTTTCAGCATGTATTCAATCTCAAATATTGTTATATTTATTTCTTCCTCTCGCGTTGAAAATAATTATTAAAAATTAAAATGCGTATTTTTATATATAAATTTTATATATAAAAAATTTGAACATTTCCATTATTAATATACATATTGCGTTTTTAAACGTAGAGGTAATTTCAAAGAAACGTTGCATGTTTCTAATTAATTTTCAAAATTAAAAGAATATTTTAAAAAATGCACAGAATATTTTACGCCACTAAAATAACTTTAAAACTTAAATATACCTAAATATTATTAAATTTTTTTCCACATTCTTGTTAGTATAAAAAAAATATGAAACTAAAGGCTGCTTAGAAGAATAATGGAAGATTTATATTTTTCAAGCAATATGTACACACACACACACACACACACACACACACACACACACACACACACACACACACACACACACACAAAACTTGTGTCTTTATAGTGTACGCAAGAATTTTGGGAAATAAATAGACGCCAAGCATTACTCACGTCACTATAGTATGCAGTTACATTAGTTTATATAATATATATAATAGTATATACAGCCACATATGAAACCATTATTAAATATCTTTTGAAAAATCTCAGTCGTAGATTAAATCTAAATTAAACCAACGTTTTGAGCTAGTTAATGTGTGCGAAAATAGAATAAATTTTCTGTAGTATCTAATTTATAATTGAAATTTTATTCAATAATAATTTGTAGTATATCTAATTTATAATTGAAATTTTATTCAATAGCATCTGATTTCAAGTTGCAATTTTCTTGGATACACATCGAATTAAGTCATTTTGAAATTCTCAGCTGTGAAGTTTGTAACTTCTTATGCACAGCAATTACTCGCTTTGCATATACCTTAAAAAAGTTTTACGTCATATAAGATATCCGTAATACTTAAAAAATTACATATTAAAGATATATCATATATTAAAGATATATATATGTATATGAAATTAATTACATCTAAAAGTCAAGTTTAAAATTAAATATATATAATTATTTATATGTTAATAAGATTTGCGTCGCAGATATAAAAAAGATTCTCAAGATTCTCAAGATTTGCGTCGCAGGTATAAAAAAGATCCTCATATGCAATTAAGTTCAAAGTAACATTTTTAGATTAATTTCGAAAATAATTTGTTTTCGAAATAATTGATTTCATAACATATTGAAATGATAATATTTAAATAGTATTATTAAATATAGTATGGAAAACCTTCATATAAAGTTTATAAAAACATTTTTAAAAACATAACTACTTTAGAAGTTTAAAAATAATCTTAAATTATTATAAATAATTTCAAATATACACAAACACAACAAATTAAAATTATTAAATTTACAATTTCAAGATATAACAACTGCATTTTTCAAAATATCTCATTAAAGAAAAATGTCTTGATTACTTTTTACAGAATCAGAAGCTCTATCTAATGATGCTGAGTTTACCAAGCGAATTTTTCCGTTTAACAGCATTCTGAAGGACAATATCTCGTCAAAGCGAGTCTATCCCTTTTCAGTTTGGCAGAGGTGGTTGCTGAATATCGCTGACGCGGAATTCGCGGCTGACAAAGTCGATTACGGCTACGAGATGCCGGAAACGCTTTCGCGTGAGGCGGTAGTGCCTCCTTCAGATCTTTTGGACGATCCCTTTGTGGCGGACGACACGTTCCAGGATCAAGGCCCGGGGTCGATGGAAATATACAAGCTAGACCTGTCCAAAGAGAAGGCTCTACTGACCGCAACCACGCCCTCCACAAATTTACCGTCAAGGAATAAAAGCAAAGCTCCGAAAAAGACAGACCACCTGAATTCAAAGATAAAGACAATGGAGATTAAGTCGACAACGACAAGTGCGAACATTAATCATAGGCAATCGAACTTTTTCGAAGAACAACGAACTGAGACTCCTTCGGTCAACAGAGACGCCTTTGGTGTCGGCGGCGTGCCAGAGCTACAGGTTGGATGCGAGGGTCTCGAAGCGTCGCCGTCGTCCCACAAGGCAAAAAGATCGATAGATACGCCCGACAAGAAGGGCGAGGTGCCGCCGTTCGTATTGCTAGACACGTTCGTGACGCCGATATCACTAGAGCTCGACGATGTTCTATCATACGAAGAATACGAAGAGATGGATGAGTTGCTAAAACTTAAGAAATTAGAGACTACCACAAAACAAGATAAGCCGAAGAGGGGCGATATGGATGCCACGTATCTTAATTCAGAGCACTTGGACGAGTTCAGGCGACCGGAGAAATTACCAATACGAGGAGATTTGGGTAAGTCCACTTTAATGAATTCTAGCGAATTCAAACCTGACCAGGAGGAGTCGCACAAGAAGCCTCTGGTAGATTTTAAAATAAAAAATGAGGAGACTAAAGCAAAACGAGAAACCGTTGCATCGGATGATGCTGATGATGGTACCATCATCAGAAGTCGACGATTGCTGTGGCTTCCCGAGGCAAATACCAAGGAATTTGCGGATGGCAAAAGTGAGCAGAAGCGCACAAAGCGATTGATCGAATGGGGCTTTGGTGAGGATGAAGGTGTCGTGTCCAGCGACGAATTGCAGACCGTGAATGAACGTCGCAGGCAGCACGAGATGCGATACCATCAAAATACATCTAGGAGACATGACCAAAATCATAAATTAAATACTGATACCGATAGTATCAGACGAGAATACGAGGAACTACTACTTGAACAAAAACGAAGAGAAGAAGAGGAACGACTGCGACGAATGCAACAGGCTAATCGAAGAACGCCAAACAGATGGGAGGAGGAAGAGGAAAGGAGAAGAGATGAGATGCGGAGAAGACAATATGAGGAGTATCGTAGGAGAATAGATCACATTTCAACACCTCATAGCGTAGATGTTGAAGAGATGCGACGACGACAGATGGAAGAACGACGAAGGCAGGAAGCGGCGCGTAATCAAACGCAGGAAATGACCAGAAGAAACGAGGATGAATGGAGAAGACGAGAACAAGAAGGACGAAGACGACAAGAAGAAGAAATAAGAAGAGGATCGCAGAGCAAGTGGCAGGAAGAAAACTCGAGGAGATCAGGCTTTAGAACATCTATATACGACGAAGACAAAAAACGAAGACTTTACGGCGAAGAAATAAAGAGACAGGAAGAAGAACGACAAAAAAGGTTAAAAGAAGAAGAAATAAGGAGATGGGAACAAAACAGATTACAACAAGAAATGCAAAGAAGAAAGGAAGAGGAGGAACGACGACAAGAAGATTCAATGAGAAATATTTCAGAAGATGAAAGAAGAAGATTAGAAGATCATCGTAGACAATGGTTAGAGAAGAGGAGACAAGAGAAAGAAGACGAAAGAAGGCGACAGGAGCCGCCATCGAATTTAATGTATACGAGACATCCAGTCAGTTATCCGAACGATATCAGACAATATGATCGAGATGAAGAAAGACGACATCAAGAAGAGAAAAGACAGCGGGAACAGAAGCTGCGGGAATATATCGCGCGGAATCAACCCATCAATGTCAGTCATGCTGATCGAAAATCGGAAGAAGAAAGACGACGCTATCGACCCGAGGAGAACCGAGATCCGCGGATAAATGCGAATAGAAATGATGAAGAGTACCGCCGACGAGTGGAGGAGCAACGTAAGAGACAGGAAGAAGAGAGAAAATTACAGGACTACATTAGAAGGAATCAGCCAGTGAATGTACCATCAAGGAACAATCAATCGACTATGGCCGGTCGTAACTGGTTCGAGGAACGGAGACTAATCGAGGAAGCTAGGCGTCGTGACAAATATCCTGATCCAGGAACGAGGAGACACCACGGGCCATGGGCGCCTACGTATATCGATCCGCGAAGCTCGCTAGAGGAAGTCAGACGAAGACAGCAGGAGACGGCGAGAAGGTTGGAAGAGGAGAGGCGGCAGAGGTACGAAGCGGAAGAGCGACGGAAGGAACTCGCTAGGCAACAGAGGGAGGAGGAAGAGAGACGGTTACGAGAGGAACGGATACGAAAGGAGGCGGCTAAGCGGGAGGAGGAAGCGAGGAGGGAGCAATCCAGGAGGTACGAGGAGGATAGGAAACGGCTGGAGGCAGCGAAGTTACAAGCTGAGAAAAGGAGGCAGGAGATGCTAAGGGAACGATCCAGGAACGAAATTGGAAGAACAAGACAGCCGGAAGCTACGAGGCCGATCTACTATCAGGATCCTCGTCTTTTGGCGGAGTACAGAAGGCGGCAAGATAGCCAACCGAATATTTTGTCGCAAGCCGAGACTCGGCGAATAGCAGAAGAACGCAAAAGGCAAAGATTGGAGTCCGAGAAACGATGGCAGGTAGAAAACAGGTAAGTGATCCTTGGGGCGCAACACTTTGCAGAAATGGAGTAGTTTCGCTTGGCGCGATACCAACAAACTTTATTTGATCCGTGCTATGCTCGTTTATTTTGTTTTACTAATATTGTGTTTTACTAATATTGTATCATTAGAGACTTTTTACGTAACTTTCTAATGTATCAATATATAATATTACGCGATAAAGTTAACGGATACAAATTATTTATTCACTTCACAAATTTATTTTAGATTATAAGATTAAAAGTTGTGACAGACTTCGAGGGTTATATCACATTATATGTATTATATAATTACTTCTTGGATTTTAAAAGATACTTTTTATTTTATATAATAAATTTCGATATGATTTAAGATATTTTCTTTAACGATATAAAATTTTACATAGCTACGTGAGATATATATATATATATATATATATATATATATATGTGTGTGTGTGTGTGTGTGTGTGTGTGTGTGTGTGCGTGTGTCAGATTTTGTGAACATCGCAACTTTAATTAAGAAAACATCTTGAGCGTATCATTAAGGCGAGAGTTACTCATTTGGACCATCCAATAAACACAACCCTATTTCTACCGTAGAATGAGGGAGGACGTACACAAGGAGACTGATCAGTGGAGACGACAGGAACTAACCAGACTAAACTCTCTGCCAGTGAGCGCAAGAATAATAGTCCGTCCTGATTCCTCACCGACGTCGCGCGTCTCACCGCCAGTGTTATCGAGGGGCGGCTTCGACAACGAGATCGATTTCACGGTGAGTCCTCCATTTGTTTGTCAAAACACTTCACCACACTTCGATCGCGTGAACCCGATTCGGCTGTCCACCGGCGGTTTATTCACCAGCGAATCCGATCTCGTGGCCGCCGATTGTCTCGTGCTACCGAACCAAAGCGCGCTTCATTAAACCATGGAGGAAGTTGCGGCGAATTCGTGCCCCTTCGACCTCAACGAACCTCCGACCCACCCCGCTTTGTTCCGTTTAATTGACCGGGCGCTGAGCAGCACCGTTGCTTCTCTCTTTAAAGTTTTCTTGCAATATTTTTTTGCAAATGTCTCCGAAAGTAATAATGACATTTTAAAAAAAATAATGGAAATAAAAAGATATGTATGTATTAAATATAACAAGATAATGGTGTTGTATATTTCATTATGTATACATGATAAATATATCTTTTTTTATGTTTCTTATAAATTATATCTGGATATTTTTATTATCATAAGTAACAATTGAAATAAACTTAAAATAAATTAAAATCCAACAAATTATTTCTAGGGAATCAATCCGCATCGCGAGGGCATACAAGTGGCACAATTTCCCGCCCCTGCGACTCCAAGACCGCCCGTCCAGTCTCCTAGCCCATGTGTTTGGGCAGTTGTTCATTGTTGTTCGTCCAATAACAACCGTCTCGTAAAGTGTTTCGAATCGTTGGGCTGTCCTGGGATTAATTGGGATCCTGATCCGTGCAGAGGTCCTGTTGCGGACGCTGCTCGAGCAGAAGTCATGAAGTTCTATGCCAGTGCATAAAACTAAATAACATCACAGAATTCGCTTTTCATCCTCCTTCGAGAGACGAATACCAATCAGAGAAAAAAAAAGGAAAAGGCTCTCTTTGACACCAACGAAAGGTCTCATGAAAAGTTTCGAGTTACTGTACTTCGAATCAATTTGTGCATGTGTGACTTCTGCTGGCTCTGTACAAATATTTGTGTCGCTGGATAGAAGAGCTCAGTAAGTAGACTTAGATATTTACAGAACGAAAGATTTTGATATTGTTTGTTGATCGCAATATCAATGATAGTTTTAATAATTCAAATTTTTAATAAATTGAGATTAAGCAAGACATTATCATAAAATAAAAACATTTTAGTTTATTAAAATCCAGTATTTTTATAATATAAAATTAATAATATTAAAATATACGTTAAAATATTAATAATAATGTTTTTTATGTAAGTTTTAAAATGTATATGTACTTTATATATAATATTTTATATTTAATATAAATATAAAATATAAATATTTTGAAAACATTTACAAATATTACAAAGAGGAAATAGAAAAATATAAAACTATTTTAAATTTAAAAATGCATGAACTTTTTACATCCAGCAATACAGTTATTTGTTTCCTAATATTTGCAAAATTTTCTCTTCTTTGAACAAAAAAAAATAAAATATAAAAAATCATATTTTGGAGAAAGAGAATTTAAATTAACAGTAAAAATAATTAACAAATTAAACATGAAACTCTTACATTACATTACCTTACATTACCTTTGATATATTGTCATCATAATAACATCATACATCATTACATAATGAAGATTTTATATATATATATATATATATATTACTTTATAATAATCATGAATTAAAATGATATTTTTCTATCCGCTTATTTCAATGATAGTGTGCAGTAGACAGACCTATATATAATATAACTAGTAATTAATGATAGTTTATGAAAGTTTAAATTTAAAAAGTTTGAGCTTTTAAAGTATAGTAAACAGTATTTGTTTTAATATCAAAAATTTGTAAATTAATAACCAATTAGATTTTAATATTGATCGGTAGTCAACGATGATCGTAATGCCTCGCGTGTGTGAAGTTACGTAAAGTTACGTATATATTATAAAAAAAAAAGACACGGAAAATCTATGACACATTTCGTCGTCACGTTTGCATGTGCAAACACAGCGTGCGAAAACTATTGTAAATCTTTTGTATGTAGCCGAGATGAATTGTATTTTCGCAGCTTTCCCATGTGATATAGGAGGTAGGCTCTAATGTGCTGTAACTCGACAAATATTTATGTAACATACATAGAAAAAGCAATAAAGTTATCTCTACTTGTATAACCCAAAACACCTGTCCGCGTTTTCGCTTCACGTAACGATCAAATTTTGTTACATGTGTAAAACCTGATTAATTCGCAATAACTCGCTGTGACATTGACATGTCAGCATGTCTTTTCGGATTGCATAGGAAACGTCAACTATTTTAAAAGAAATAAAAAAAACACATGACACACGCATTTTTTCATTTCTTTTAAAATAATTATTATCCTTCATTGATGCTCAACGTTGTGACAAGAAATATATTACATAAATTATTGAACTATTGAAATTATTAAAATATTGATAAATTAATAAATTAAATTTAAAATTCATAATTCGAAATATTTGTAGAATTATAATTTCTCCCAGATTAAGTTAAATTTCAAAAAATTGGTTGAAAAAAGAAAATATACATATAGATGAAATTTAAGTTGAAAATAAAGATATATATTGATATATTTTTTTATATTTATATTTATTAAATTCTAATTTTTCTGTTTTAAGAAAATTTTAATATCAATCAATTAATAAAATTTGATATTAAAAATTATAGAATTCATACATGTCATGAAAAAAATAATAATCGCAATTGTTGCAAAAAAAGTGTATATTATATGTATATATAGGCACTCAATCACTTACATATACATGCAAATTTCTCGAAGGATTATAAAAATATTTTTTATTGATATTAAAAGATAGAAATTGAAAGTTCCGAATTATAAAAGCAAGTTTTGCTTAGTTCTAAAAAGTTTCTTACTAATGACTTGCGCGTTTACAATAATTACTTACAAGATTCGGCAACAAACTTCTGACCGCTTACATTTATCTGCACCATCATCATCCTTTTTCGTGACTTCTTTTTTCTTGTTTTTTCTCACCGTGACCGATAACGAGCCATTCAACGGTTAAGAGCTTGCAAATGTTTTCTTGTTCAATCAATCGCATTGTGACATCGAAGGTGCCTCCTCGCATCCCTCGCGTCTCAACATAGTAAGGCAAAAGCAAATAATCGACTATTGATGCGGGAAACCACTTTGTGTAATGCACTGCGTGTAGTTGCAATCGCCAATGCATTCGGTACAAAATTACTCCGACGAAAATTGGAAACGTCACTTTCCATCCGGGCGCGTGTTTGTCAAACAACTTTAACAATCATTTTTACGCATTCGATCGAACTCCATTAAAAAAAAAAAAAAAAAAAAACGAAACAATATATTCCAATAAATGTAAGTGTTGTAACATGTTCATTTATAGGCTTGCACTTTTAAGAAATAGAAATAAGTTCGAAATATATATCTTATTAAAATAGAAATTTAAATTATTTAAATGTAAATAAAAGTAAAAATAGTTTGGATTCTAAAAGTTACGTAATAGCCGTGCACTCTTCTTTTAGCAGTCGCACGCGAATTATGTTAATCACGATGGCGCATCTAATCATTGAGCAACGCGGTCAAGGCAAACGAGTATTGTCTACGTACAGTTTGCTCTTTCTTCTACTTATTATACTTCCTTCATTAATATTCAAGTAATAAAAAAACGATAATTTCTGTAGCAATACGTAACGTATGACGATATGATACTGTAACAATGTTTAATTTTCTTTCGCATTCTAAAATTTGTTTTCCATTGTATTATCGTATTATGCATACTGAAACAATTTTTGGAATACACGACATTTCCAAGTTATCTTTTTAACAAAGATAAATTTTCACTCTCATAATGTTCCCGGTACGCTATTATCTTTCCATATCTTTCACACACACGTAGAGTATATGGATTTTATAACACTAATCGAAAAACGACAATTCGATAGGTAATATTCAATGAAAGGAGAAACGAAAGGAAACAGATATGAACTATCAATTAATGTTAATGAATAATATAGATATTTTTACGAGATAAGTAAGAACTATATCGAATGTAATAAATAAAGATACGAAGTGTCATGTTAAAAATGAATGTTATTTTGCAATATGTTATGATACATTATAACAACTTATCAGTGATACACCGCACAGATTATCTGACGCGAGATAGAGAGAAATCTTCTGTTTGAAGTTTCCTGGCACGTATATATAAACCCTTAACAACAGACTGTCGACGGAGTCGTCTGTCGATAGCATGTCGACGACAGATGCGCATCCAACATCCTCAAGGATCATCCCCAAAGATATCGTCTCCTCAGCATGTCTATCTCGACATATATCTGAAATGCACTTTTCCGTGTGTCTTACTTTTATATCTTTTCGCGATTCGCCTACCTTTTTTCCCGACTCTCGGTTTACTTTGTGCAACGCAACGAGATAATATAACTCATAAAACTCGATTCGTCATGTTTCCGTTAAAGATAGTTTTCGTCAATCAAATTTTTGTCAAAAGGATTTATAATATCTTCGACTCGCAAGGATCTTTTTATCTTTTTCATATTACTGCATGAAATTACAATTACAATTACAATTACAATTGCAAAGCGCTTGAATTATTTAGAGATATTTCATCGTTGCAAATTTAATAAAATAATATACATCATATTCACTCAACTACAATATCAAAAATATAAAATTAAAATATGAAAAAATATAAAAAAATATATTAATAAATTAAATATAAAAAAGATGTAGATATTGTATAAAATTAACTTCACTTGCGATTGAAAAATATGCTATTTTTCGCTAATCTAACGACGAATTGAGTTACGTAAATGCAACAGTTTTCCAAAGAGTGAAACAAGACTTCCGGCGTGAAAAAGATTTTTATTTCTTTTTCTCTCTCTTACGACCTCATCTCTCATCCTCTTGTCTCAACTTGGCGGACAACAAGCGAGCACACGTTCTGTCGTCGATCTGATGCATCCGCGCGCAAATAGATAACTCGCGCGATGCTCTCTGCACCGGAAAACCGTGCACTTGTAGTGACAAACGGTCCATCCATCGTATGCACGTGCCACCTTTGTGTCGGCATGTTGCTTTTGTTGAATCATTCGTATTGTTCATCTAAAAGAGTCCCCCAACGTGTCGAGTTTTCGAACGGTTTTCTTGGTCGTCCTATGTTTCCGATTGGAATTTTATCGATCGCCCTTAGAAGCGGCCCAGTTAAATTTGTGATTTTTTTTTTACATTATGGAAAATGAACATTAATATGTTTCATATATTTCAATTAATTGTTATTAATTTATATAGTTAATTGATTTAAAATATAGTGAAATATTTGTGCTAATAAGATATTACTAACTTGACTTCGATTAATATGTCTTGAGTCAACGTCAGAACTTTGCTTCTGCGAATGTTATCATCGTACTTATGGATGCAGAGACATGCATCATTGTCTTCACCCTTCTCTTCCGTGGAATACGAGCAAAATTGAATAGAGAGCAGTGCTGGAAAATGTTCCAGATTCTCTTGCATGTAAAACTGTGCCGAAATCAGCCATGCATCATTGTTCGCGAATATGTGCATCTGTGACTATTCACATGACTGAAGTATTGTATATAAGTATTTGAAGCATGACTTATTGCTATTTAGACATAACAAACTTAATAAGTAACTTTGTAACTTCGCAATTAATTTATATAGTTGTCAAACGTAATAACTGATTTTTCTTTTGCGAAAACTATTTAAACGTTCGAATTTTTATTTGTATTTATTATTACTTTTTACTCTTTGCAATTAGTTAATCGTCGGTAATATACAATGCAATTAATTATGCAGCTCTTATGTTATGCCATTCAGGAGAAGGTATCAATTACGATTTATACTATATTACATTATGTAATATTTTCATGTTTCATTTTGAAAAAATTTTCCAACAAAGGGCTTACGTGTAAAATTGAGGGACAAACAGCTTTGAAGTGAAAACTGCATGATTGCACCAAAATCCGGGATGCAACAATGTTGCGAGTGTGTGCACAGTCGAGAGAGCAAGCATTCTCGCGCGGTATCGAGGTATCTCTTACGCGAGTAATCGCAAATACGCAACAATGTACGAGCAAACAATCGACAGGTAACGCAGCGACGACATGGCAGTCGTATCGAGAATGTGGAAAATAAGGGTTAGGTTGGAGCGCAAATATACGCAGCGTGGTCTCTCCGCCCTGTTTCTTCTTCAATTCAATTCCTCCGCTACACAGTTAGTAATATGCGCGAAACACGTGCTATTCCCTTCCCGAGATAACATCGATAACGTACGAGACGCGATATTCGCGTATTGAAATTCCGATCGTCCAATGTCACCTTTTGCCTGGCTCGATCGACAGGCAAAATGTTCTCTGGTTGTTCTACGTGCGTGACAGCGTTTTCCAGTTTGTGGGGTTCCTTTGATCGCGATTTTGAACGTGAACCGGGGTGTGTCGCAAAATGTGTCCGGAAATAGGCAACGGAGCAAATGATTTTCAAAGTGAAAAAGCAAGGAAATTGGTCGCTTTTAATCTCACTGCGTAAATCTGAATTTTGCGATAGAACTCTATATCTTACGATAATAGATATTCCACTCACAAGAAAAGTAGCGAATATATATATGTAAATTGTAACACATATCCTCTATTTTTCTTTTCTTATCTAAAAGTCTTACAAGTATAAATATTTTCTTAGATATTTTTATTTCAATTTTTCAAATAATGCAGAAATGTAAACAACTTTTTTAAAAATTTCTTTTAAAATTTCACGTGTTATTATTATATTTTCTCTAATCGATAAAAAGATTTGAACTATATTATTACTAGTTACTAATGATTTTGAATGATAGACATTGATAAAAAATATTTTGTTTTTTGGCATGCATTATTATTTTATATTTCTCTTGTTATTCATCCACACTTAAAACTGTTGATGGAACAGACTCACCACCATCACTGCGCTGCGCGACGCCTCTCTTGTCCCCTTTTCCCATATTTCCGTCTCCCGCTGCTCCCTTCAGGATAAGATGCTCGTTTCTTCGGTCCTACCTGGAAAATCCAATTGCAAAATATTTTGTTATTTTGCTACATTCATTTTCTGTGTACGTAAAATTGGTATATATATATGTGTGTGTGTGTGTGTGTGTGTGTGTGTGTGTGTGTGTGTGTGTGTGTGTGTGTGTGTGTGTGTGTGTGTGTGTGTGTGTGTGTGTGTGTGTAGTGTACGTA